CTTTTTTCTTTCCTTTTTTCTTTCTTTTTTTCTTTCTTTTTTTCTTTCTTTTTTTCTTTCTTCTTCTTTTTTTTTTTTTTTTTTTTTTAAGTTGCAGGGATATCTCTTCTCGATAAGAGGTCATTACTATTCAATCAACCGGTCTCTCCCACATATTAGCATTATTATTGATCATCATTATTTTCATCATTATTATCGTCATCACGATCGCCATTTGTATTATACAGAATGTTCAGGCAGTTTTAATAATTATTTTTCCAAAACGAGATTAATGCGGAATGATCGATTTGTTGAAAAATTGAAAATTACAAGAATTAAAAAAAAAGAAAAAAAGTCGAAGAAACTTTTAGAATTGGATCATCATTTTATCATTATTATATATATATATAACATACAGGATGATCATACAATTTTAATAATTATTTCAACAAAAGAGATTGATACGAGTGATCGATTTATTGAAAAAAAATAAAAAATAAAAAAATAAAGAAAAAAAATAATCGAAGAAAAATTTGTAATTCTTATTCAGACGAAATACGAAAATATTTCGAAAATCGATCGATGAATTACCACCAAGTTTGTTTTTTAATTATATATTGTAAAATCATTCGGTGATGCTCTTTCTCTCTCTCTCTCTTTCTCTCTCTCTCTCTCTCTCTCTCTCTCTCTCTCTCTCTCTCTCTCTCTCTCTCTCTCTCTCTCTCTCTCTCTCTTTCTCTCTCTCTCTCTCTCTCTCTCTCTCTCTCTCTCTCTCTCTCTTTTATCCTTGTAAACTATCTTACGTTAGGTAAGAATAGTGTAGCTGAAAGGGAAGGATAGAAGAGAAGAGGAGGAGATTGCATCGTCGCAAGAAGATGATAAACGATCGACGCGTGGAATTCGCTTCGTGGACGGCTTCTCTGAGGGTCTCTCGTGATTAAAGAAAATAAAAGATTAAACAAAAGAAAAAAAAGCAAAGAGATAGAAAAAGAAAGAGATGAGAAAAAGAAAGATGGCGAACACCGAACACAGTGTAAGTTTTACACCCATACGAGGTCAAGTGAGTTAGTTCCTACGAGTTACATATACTATACTCGTCCACTCTCTTGTATTTTTGCGAGTAGTACAACTGAATTCACCCTTTGTAACGACTGTCATGGCTGCGACATGCAACTACATGCGTCACACAGAATCATCATGCCTTCCTTTCTTTCTTTCTTTCTTTCTTTCTTTTTTTCTTTCTTTTTTTCCTTCTTTTTTTTTCTTTTTATTTTGTTTTTTTTTCTGTCTTTCTTTTTTTTTCTTTTTTTTTCTTTTAGAACGACGAGAGTAATCGCGGCGGTACTCCCGTCGAAGAACATATGTTGTCGTTGCATTGTATTCTGTAACGCCTGAAAGTAATCTCGAGCTCTTTTGCTCGAGCACGTCCTGTATACATATGTATATTGTGTATGCATTTTATTTTATTTATTTCTTTTTTTTTTCCTCTACCATCTCTCTTTTTTTCTCTTTTTCTCTTATTTTCGTTTCATCCGTTTCCTAGTTTTCAATTTTAATTATTTCAAAAATAATAATGTGGATTTTAATTATTATTTAAAAAACAATAGAGTTCGTCAAGTGTTTTGTTCGAATTGATATGGAAGAAGTTTGAAAAATATTTGTAAAATAATTGTACGATTTATTTTTATAATAGTAATTTTTATATTAAATGAAAAAAGGATAATTAATAAATTAAGGAAAAAAAGATAAAAAAAAAAAAAAAAAGAATATTCAAGTAAAATAGATATCAAGGAAAAAGAATAGAATGATATCGACGACTTATGAATTATCCAAAAAAAAAAAGAATTTTCTTTTTCCTTCTTGATATTACGTCATTTAACCATACGCACATACGATTATTAAATCACTAATGTTCTCCAATTTAGTACAAATCCAATGGTGATGATTATAAATATAGAATCGATTAGATCTATAATTATCATACATAAATATGCAATTATTTTCGTACATGCAAGATAATAATGACTAAAAAGGAAAATCATTGATTTGTTGTATTTGCAAAAAAATTATCGTTTTATTCATACTAATACGTAGGTACACACACATATATATATATATATATATATATATATATATATATATATGTATCAACTGATGCGTTTATTACGAACGTATTTGAATAATTCATGTTCGAAAAAGAAAAAGAAAAAGAGGAAGAAAAAGCTACTTCAAAATTTTTCAAGAATCCAATTATCCTTTATCCTTGTCATACAATTCTTCTGAGAATTATACCTATGATTTATCAATTCTTTAATATTTAAAATTTTTAATTTTATATAAAAAGATATACGAATCAAGTTGTTACGAAATACATAGAAATAATACATGTATCGTCATATTAAATTTTAAATAATATACAATTTCTTTTTATTCCAAAAGAAAACTTTTAATCATTGCAATAAGGATTAAGTTTATATATATATATATATATATATATATATATATATATATATATATATGTGAAATCGAAGTACAGTAATATTTTTCAAAATTTTCGTTAATCTCAACTCTTTGGCAACATCTTTTGAATTACACACTGACTAGACTTCCTCTGGAAACCGTAATTTCCGTCGGGATAAGAAGCACTAGAACTTGTGATAGAAAGAAAAAGAGAGAGAGAGAGAGAGAGAGAGAGAGAGTGAGAGAAAAAGAGAGAAAGAGAGAGGGAGAGAATGAGTCAGATCGTACGATTAGTTCGGTTAAGTCACGAACGTAAGACGGGATTGCTTGTTTGAAACTCGAACGTGTTAAATTCGTGCTCAGTTGCGATCGATGGAAGTATTGCAAAATCGTTAAAAGGATCGAAGACGAGAAAGGATTTACGTGGTACTTATATTAAAGTGAGGTAAATGTTTCTTGGCTTATATAAATCTCATGAAGAGTTCGTGATTTATTGATATGTTTATTGCATGGTACACGTGAAATAGATAATTTATTTTACTTCTGTATAAAAGAAAAAAGAAAAAGAAATATATATATAAATATATACTATATTTTTATACTATTTTTTTTTTTTTTTTTAATCTTTCTTCATTTATCTTATTAACGATTATATTGTATATAGTTCAAATATTAAAGAAAATGTTTGATATTTATCAATTTATATATTGTATTCATTTATGTATATATATATATACATAGATACATACATACGTACATACATATGCACATATATACATGTATTAAGTATCAGTTTATTCGAAAATAATTTAATCTTAATGATATAGTATGTATATTTTATTCAAGATTTATATAATCTAAAATAAATACTTTGAAACATCTAAATGTTTGGTTACTTAGGTCAGTTCTCGTTTTTTTCCTCTAATGATGATAACGTTGTAAAGAAAATGTTAAGTGCGATTAAGTGCATCGAGGTTGTTAATTTTATTATCAGACATTTAAAACTGGACACGTCACACTAACAATAAGATCATCAACGTGAATAGCAACAACGCATAATTTTGCGACGTTTATTTGAAAAATGCAACGTAGAATATATATAGATACATAGATACATAAATACATACATACATATATGTATATACACGTATATAAATACGTATGTATATACATACATATGAATCGGAAAAGATTTTACAAGTATTAAGTAAATCGATGTCTTTGTAATCTTTTCACAATAATTCCTTATTACATCTTACTTGTAAGCGAATATTTGACGCACGGTGAATGGGATATTCCGATCGTTATTGTATATCAAATAATCTATATCCAGCAATTAATAAGAAATTAAATGATCCAATTTATCAGAATGGAAAGCTGATATGGCTCGAACATACGTATATACATATATACTTCATTTATACGGTAGATTGATTTCAGAAAAAAACCTCGTGTAAAAAGAGAATTTTTTTGCCTTTTTTTAAAATCGTGTCTTTGTTGAAATCGTATATAAAAGAACAAATGTTGTATAAAAAGTGACATTAAATGTATGTATATACATTGACTGATATATAGGACGAAAAGGCGGCAATTTTAAATTTAATATTGTGTTTCTTTTGTAAATGCTTACCTTGATAGAATTCTATCAGCGTAGCGAATTCCTAAGCTAACGAAAACTTCGAAACGTCAACTATAATACAAATTCCAACACGTACAGTTTCAAAGGATGGTCAGTAAAATGAAAGTCGTAATACTTTTATATTCTCAAGTATTCTTTTTATTCTATTCAACTTTGTTGTTTGTTATTAAACATGTAGAAAGAGAAAGAGAAATGAAAACATTTTATACGATTGTAATAAAAATTTTTTTTTTGTTTCTTTTTTGTTTTTGTTTTTTTTTTTTTTAAATAAATTTAAATAGTATTCTATCAAATATAACATATTATAATATTTAAATATTTAAATTTTATTACAATTTTATTTAAATTTTATTTAAATTTTATTTTCTATTTGAATTTCACTTGAAACATAAAAAGAGAAGGAAAATAAAATGAAATAAAATAAACAATTTAAAAAGTAATGTTTCTTTTGCTTCTTTTTTCTTTTTCTTTTTTTCTTTTTTTCTTTTTTTCTTTTTTTCTTTTTTTCTTTTTTTAACATAAAGCAGCGGCAAATCTCGCGCTGACGTATTTCTATAAATAAATAAATGTTTGCATACAAATGAAACAACGAAATATAAAAAGAAAAAAAAAAAATAAATTTCAATTTATTGAAGAGAACTTATGTGCATACGCATTTATATATATATATATATATATATATATATATATATATATATATATATATATAAAACCATACGTATCATCAAACTAACCGCATTTGTTCGAACTTTTTCCGAACGTTTTCGAATGTATCGAAAAGAATACGTTATCGAGTAGAAAATATTTCAAAGTTTTCACGTTCTCGTCTTTTTATTGGCGAAGTGACAATAACTTCGACACGCTTCATCGAATCTTTTCAGAAATAACACACGTTATCTATGCCATTTCCTTTTTGTTACAGAATCTGCGCGTGATTCGTGGCGAAGAAGAAAGAGAACGAATATCGAAGAAATAATTTGAGTGTTTTGTAATATCAAAGAAAAAAAAAGAAAAAAAAAAAAGAAAAGAAAAAGAAAAAAAAGAAAAAGAAAAAAAAAAGGAAAGCAAAAGTAAAACGAGAAGAAAAGATAAACAAACAAACAATAAAAGAAAAAAAAGAAAGAACGAACCTATCAAAGAATTATATCAGTCTTTGATTAAAGCTCGTACGATATATCGAACGAAAGTACATTTCTATTTACAATTCAAATTCCAGTGAGTTAGATCGATATAATTAATCACACATAATGTAGCCTGTTAAATGTGTACAAGTAAAATAGGAAATATATATTGAAGAGAAAATATGTCGATCGTTCTTTTAAAAATCAAAAATAAAGAGGGTGTAGTGATATTACATTAAAATAAGAGGTGGTGGAAGAAGAAGAAGAAGAAGAAGAAGAAGAAGAAGAAGAAGAAGAAAAAGAAGAAGAAGGAGAAGGTGGTGGTGGTGGTGGTGTTGGAGGAGTTGGTGGAGCTATTGATGGTGGTAGTGGTTGTTGTTGTTGAGGTGTAGCCAGAGAAGAGAATAATTTGTGCTCTACACGAGCTTCTTTCGTGAAGGCCGAAGGAGAAAGGAGTGAAGTGTCTCGAGACAGAATGAAGACGTTGGGTGACGTTGTTGCCGATCCTGTCGACGAGGAGAAGGACAGTACAGATTCAGGGCATGGAACTGCCGGTAAAGAATTTGGTCAGAGAACTCTAAGATCCTTGAAAAGAGGACTCGGTCGATTGTGGAAGAGACACAGGGGCAATGCCTCGATAACCGACTATGACCCTTGTTATAAGGTCGCCTATCTTGGGAATGTCCTTACTGGATGGGCCAAGGGTGAGATTTTTTTTGTTTCTGTTTCTTTTTTTCTCTTTTCTTTTTTTTTTCCTTTTATTCTTTCCCTTCTTCCTTCTCCTTTCTATTTTTATAATATATTTGTATATTTCAAGATAGATATTGAATAGGGAGAAAATAGGAGAAACGATACTTAATAATTTTGTTTTCGTTTAAAAATTGTTGTTCTTGCTTATTTTTTTTTTTTTTTTTTTTTATCTGTTCGTTTCCTTTTTCTTTCTTTTTCTTTTTTTTTTTTCTTTGCAAGAAACGAATCTGAGGGAAAATTAAATTGCACGTATTACTTCGCGTTTAACATTTGTGTATCTCATAATCTCTTCAGGAACGATTTATCTAAAATTCGAAAAAATGTTGATTAATATTATCGCGTATGTTTATTATATTCATTTGAGATCGATTAAAAATAAGAAAATAAAACGAAAGTTATTAACAGTAGATAGGAAAGAAATAACGATGTTCACATGCGCATCCCTAATATTTTAATTTTTCAAAGAATCAAAAATATATGTGCGTATGTATCATCAGTATCCTCGAAGAGATTAACGCATTTTAATATTTAATATGCAAAACTACATTAAAAGTTGTTATCAGTATACATTTATAATGATGGATAATCTTTAATTTTTTTTTTTTATTCCTTTTATTCAAAATAAACAATAATTAAAGATTGTTAATCAGAAGTGCACGCAATTCTCCTTCAACGTTCTCCTTCATTTTCTGATGTACGAACTGTACGAACGAGTAGGACGATGGATCGATCGATCGATAGATAGATCGATCGATCGAACGGTCGAGAGCACGCCGAGGTTGAAAATAAAGTGCCATCGAGTAAGGTCATCGTCGTACCAGCAATTAATCATTTGCTCGCTCGCAAGAAACTACTTTCTGCATATTGAATTTATCCTGCTGCATATTTGTATCTTCGGGTCGAATGAACGCGACAAAAAAATCCAAGATATTTTATATGATAACGAAATGTCCTTCGGATCTCATAAAAAAAGATGTCATTCCGTAGCACGAAAAAAAAAAAAAAAAAAAAAAGAAAAAAAATAGAGAAAGAAAAGAAATAAAAAAAGAAAATATGTTTAAAGAAGTTTGCTTGTAATGTGCAGACTTCTTTAAAAATTAATAATAATTTTAATATAGATGAAGTTTCTTTCTTTCTTTTTTCTTTTTTTCTGAATACACGAATTGAAAAAATGGTCTCTCATTAAAAATTCTTTTACTAGTAAATGTTTCTTTTTTTCCTGTTTTCTTTCTTTTTTCATTTTTTTTTTTTTTTTATAAAATTATATTTCCTCCACTTATGTAATTTGTTAATTATCACTTCGTTTAGATATACAAATGAATTTCTCTAAAGGAATGATATTAATTAAATCACATTATGTCATACATTCGAACTAATTACTTTATGTCAGAGCGCATGCTTCATTTGCTTGTTATGTATTAACAATTATTTTCTTATATTAAAAATTAATTATTAAAGGTATTCGAAAAATTATTATTCAGGGATATTTAAAGAAAATTGGAAATGTTTTTATTATCCTTAAAAGTTCTGATTTTTCACTTTTTTTCTAAACGATCTTATTTCATTCTTGAATACTAAAGAATAATTTTTTTTTTACAATAAAAATGAAATTTTAGAAGAAATTAAAAATTGATTCGTTGTTGAAATGAAATGAATATTAATTGATACAAATGTTGCTAATCTCACGAATACACATACATATATACAGGAGAATAATTGTTACCCCCTACTTTCTCTACTTCGTTTTCTTTAATCTTTTTTGATCATCAAGATCTTAATCGTTACGATACGTTTATTAACGAATTTATGTCTTTTTTTTTTTTTTAATTTTCAATCCGATTGTATCTTTTTATTTACAACAATAAAGAAGAAATTTATCGTCCGATCTGAAGAGAAAATATTTCATTTAGGTTACTAAAAAATATTAGTAATATCGTTAATATATAAATAAGAACTCTCTCTCTCTCTCTCTCTCTCTCTCTCTCTCTCTCTCTTTCTCTTTCTTTTTTTCTTACTTTAGATTTAGATGCAATAGTTTACGATTAATATTAAATAAATAACAAAATTTTATTGTCAGAAAAATGGATATGGATTATCATATTTTAATAAGTAATTTTTCTTCGATGAAACATCTAATCTATTCTATAATCTAATGAATCATGCATTTATAACGGATCATATTCGTTCCAAATTAATAGTCTCGTGTTAGCGATGATCTAATCGATTAAAATGTATCACTGGATAATTTTATTAATTTTATCATTTATAATCGACAAATTGACGGACGATTATTGTTTCATAAATAATCATAGATTTTATCAATTTTCCAATAATTTTTTTTTTATTTTTTTTCTTTCCTTCTTTATTTACTATCTTTATTTCTTTTTTCTTTTTTTTTCTCTGTCGACCTTTGCAATATTCGTGACAAAGATAAGAAATTATAATATGGAAAGGATGATCAATATTACAGAAGCAATGCGAATTCATTCTAGTAATTGAAAAAATAAATTTGACTTATTTATTAACTGCATCATTCTCAAGGACATCTCATTTGACATTCGATATGCTCATAATAATTCAAAGTGCAAACCCGAGAAAGAGAAAGAGACAGAGAGATTATTTGGGGACGTTCATTGATTGCATCAAGGAAATGTAATTTTTCTTATTTTCTCTCTATTAATTTCTTTTTTCCTTTTTTTTTTTTTTTTTTATAATTTTTATTGAAACAGAAAGACACGATAATATTTCATGGACAAAAAAATCAAATGTTTTTCAAATTTTCGTAACAGTAAAAAATTTTCTAAAATTTTTTACCTGACATTTTTATATTTATATATATATATATATAAATAAATAAAAATATATATATATATAAAGAAAAAAAAATTGACGTAGTTAAAAAGTTTAGATCATTATAAAAAGAAACTTATTCTCTTGGTAATAGTTAACTTTATTTTCTGTAAAGGTGATTTTTCTTGAAACTACTTTTTCTAAGCTGTTGCAATAAATATCTCAGGAAATAATAAATCATTCTTGAAAAGCATAAAAAAAAGCATATCTTTTTATCGACTATTTCAATAACTTTTGTATTCATTGAGAAAGAATCTTTTCTTTTCCTTTCTTTCTTTTCTTTCCCTACCTATATTCTAATGCTCAATGAATAAGGCAATAATCTTTTGTCAATATTTCTTTTTTTAAATGATTACAATATGGACGTCAAGTACGAATTAGGCATATCATTTTTGTCCTCCTTTTCTCTCGTCTTAAGTCAATGACAAAGTGACCAAAAAATGATGCCTTTTGATCTGTAAAAAAAAAAAAAGAAAAAAAAAGAAAAAAAAATTGACGACATGTTAAAATCCGTGAGTCAACAATGGTCTAAAAAATTTACAGAAAAAAAAAAAAAAAAAAAAAAGAAAAAGAAAGAAAAGAAAGAAAAAAAAATTAAAAAAAGGTTCTTAAAGAAGACATATTTTTTAATCCTAAGAAATATGGTATATATATATTTACTAACCCCTACTGTTTAACAAGCATGTCATATCATAACGCAGATGAGATATATTGCTTTATTTATTTCGTTGGAAGCAACACGTTCTGTAGGATCGCGAAAGGTTAAGAGATCTCTTTTAAACGAATAACCGAAGAAAGATCGTACGAGAGATCGTAGGCGGTAAAAGAAAATAAATTGTCGACGAAGGATCTCCAGGCTCTCTTTCAGTACATGTCCTTCGTTGAATTCGCACAACGGTTTCCAGTTTTGCCGCGAACTCGTTCCCGCTGACCTTCGTGTCTCGCTTTCTAGAAGATCACCGAGTGCTTCCTTTGATATCCCTTTTTTTTTTTTTTTTTTTTTTTTTTTTATACTCACAACATCAAGTACGATGAGAGACGAGAATGATTCGAATGGATCGAATTTTCTAAATTTTATTGACTTTTACGTAATAAAAAAAAAATGATTATTATTATTTATTATTTAACGCTGTCTATGTGTGTATAATTTTTAATCTAAAAAGTTGTTTAATAATCTTTGAAAAATGTAGGAACGATAATAAGTATATATTTAATGTAAATATTGAAAGAATTTTTTTTTTTTTTTTTTTAAATAGTAGATATATAAATTAAATAGTCGAAAAATTCGTATTTGAATAATATTTATGAAAATATAAGTTGATATGAATGAGTATGGAATTTGTTGATAGCGTGAAAATATTTAAACACAAGTCAATTAGACATATCGGGCATAATAAAACAAAAAGTTTGATAGGAGTGATGTATAAGATAGATGTCAAAGAATAAAATGAAAAGAAAATTTATGAATTGTTAGAAAAATATATATTCACATAGTAAAACTTGTTTCCTATATTTAGAAATTTTGACTCATTCATATTACACGAACATACACAGAGAAAATATAAATTATAAATGGATATACACAATTTCGCTATGCTTCGATCGTCCATTTGATTCCTGCTTAACGTTAATGTTACAAATAGTGATGATAGCGCGCTATCCAAGTTCGTTCGACTTTTACGAAGAGAAATATTATAGTCAGTGAAAAAGCGCAGACTCTATGTCTTCGTGGCTGACTTTTGCTCGATTCCGAGAAAATCAACGAGGCGTCTCTCGTAACGATCGAACTTCAGAGAACTCGGTTTTGCAATCGATGAGAATCTTGATTACGTTAATGAATCCAACAAGGAAAACAAATCGATCTTTCCTTCTATGTATAGGGTGAACAAAAAGTTCCTAGCTTTGCTGAAAGTTCCCAGATGATTTTAAATATCAATTCGGATTTTTCAGGGTTGTTCTTTTTTTTTCCAAGATTTCAACCAAAAAGGAGTTCTCCTACGTTCGTAATTTTACAATTTGAAAACTGTAGAAGAAAATATTACCCTATAAAGAATCTTGAGAAAGAATAGATGATAGATTTTTATAAATTAAAAAAGCTTTTGAT